ATGCAAATTTACTACGTAGTTGTGACCTAACATAAAACAGAGACGAAAAATAATTGCGTATAACGTCGTCATAACTATTTCTGTTTTATAATATAATATTGTTATTGTATGCTTTTTATCGTTAAAGAGTGTGGTACAGAATATGCCGCGAGAATTTATATATATTATCGAGGAAAATTCTCGTGAGTGTATTGGAAATTCGTAACAGGTCGTAAATCATTAAGATTTTGTAACCTTTATCAGAAATGCGATTTACTTGAGGTATCCGTCGCTGCGCGATGTTTAGAATATTAAACTTAACTATAATATAAGTAGTAAACGAAATCGTTTAGGTTTAAGTAATTATCGAAAATTGTACAAGTACTTTACCAAAGTTAAACAGGAAACCAAAGTTATAATATAAATATAGAAGTATAAAACAACTAATCAGCCCGCTCCATGAATAATTCATATTTTATTTTATTCATAGCATAACAAATTCATATTTCATGGGTTAATATAATTTGCCTTTCTTGAGTCTTAATTTTATTGAAATGTGCGGCTGCATAGTTTATACTACCTATCATAATATACAGGACACATAAATTCTACAGAAGAAATTCGATAATTTTTTCATGATAGATTTAAAATTTATTATTATGACCCGGTACAGGGATTAGTATTAATACATAATTTTATAATAACGTGGTGTGGTTGATTTTTTTTTTTGTTATCACCTACCTTTATTAAAAAAAAAAAAAAAGAAACACACCGTAATATAGTTTTCTGATTATATTTCGCAGTGCTATTGACACTTTCAGTAATCTGTGTTTTATTTTATGCGGTATAATAAATAAAATCGCTGAAACCGCTCGGGAGTGAGACCGTGATATATATATATATATTTTTTTTTTGTTTTATTATTATTCAATACCGTACTCACGCACATGCTACGACTATAATAAAGAATTATTTAGATTTTTATAATTGACGAGTAAATTTATAGAACGAAAAAAAAACCACGTCAAAGCGTAACGGTTTTAAACTCTATTATACTGCAAAAGTAGTAGCGTGGAAAAACAGTGTTCAATCTTCTATAGATCTTGAATTTTCTACACTTGCTTATGCAGTATATTCGATGTAAAAGTCAAGTCTATACGTTATTTATATAAAAAAAAAAAAAACATATTCGTGCGGTTAATGTGTTCTACGTATTACATTATTATATGCTGCGGATGTTAACTCATTATTAGAGATTGGATTTATATTTTTTTATAATCCACAAAAAGACGTTTAAAAACACCGAAAACACCCTGAAAAAAAGCACCTAAATATATTTAAAATTAAAAATTATTGAGGGGTTTCAAATCCCTCTATTACTTTTGTGTTTTTATATAGTTGTTGTGTAATATTTTCCAAGGCTTTTAGACGTTTTCAAGTGCTTTTTTGTGAATTTTAAGAGCATATAAATCTGGTCTCTACTCATTATATATATTATATTTATGTTATGTTCAGTTAGAAATCGAAATCCGTAAACACAAACTTCTGAAAAAATTCGGATCGTGTTTAATTGTTAATGTCACGCTGATTTGCCATGCCGAAACAAATAGCACTGTTACAGATTATCTTATTTCACAAGTATTCTACACTGTATATTCGTATGCTTAAACTAAAATGCATTGATGTCTATTATTCCCCAGTTAAAACTAACCAGTGGCGCCCAACCATGTTTTAAGAAGGTAGGCAGGACAAGTATACAACACTCTTAATCAATATTCTATACGGTACAAATTCGATACAAAATATGGCTCAGATATCCATCATGGATCTACCACCGTTCACCTATTAAAAGAAAGGTGGTTGGTTTTAGTACCACTAAAACTAACGGTATAAAAAATATAAAGATATGTGAATATCCCTTCTAAAAATCAATATCCATTAAATAATTATATTTTTCAACGATATATTATTTAGACACAACTGGCGCTAATTAAAAAAAAAAGTACGTTGAAATCCTAGTTCCGACGTCGATGGTCCCAGTTGTAGTTTTAGTTTTCACTATAGTCAGAACTAGTTTGACTAGTTTTATGGTAAGAACACAATAAAGATACTACTACAGTATATAATGACGTTTTTTTTTTTTCTAATATTAGGTGTATGAAATAACTCCGATAATGATTACGGGGGAGGGGTAGGGAAATGAAATAAAGATTAAAAATCAATATCAAACGCTATAGGGCAATGTGAAATTTCGTTTTTTAAGGGACCTTATACTATATTGGTTGAAACAGATATGTAAAATATGCACGCGCGGGGAGTAATATTCAAAATATGCTAAAATTACAGAAACGTGTAAATTCTGAAATTCGTATGCCTGGTACGGAACGTTAATAAATACAATATGTGTGTAGTCTTTGAATTCACTAGAAATGTTTTGAACGCAGCTATATATATATATATACTATGTATTATACTTGGTATTCGATGTAAGAATTCAATTCATTAATTCGACCCGTTGGAATTTTCCGAAGAGTTTTATTTACGATTTTAAACTTTTAAAGAACCACAATAGCATTAGGTATTTATTAGATACTTGAGAATAATACTTTTTACAGTGATTGGAATCGTAAAACCTATAGAGATTTTAAACAGAAAAAAATGGGGGGGGGGGGGGATATTTTAATCATTTCGTGTAAGACGGAACTTTTAGTATTATAAATCCGCAAATTATTATTTAGTTAGTTCGCTAGGGATGCTGAAAACATGCGTAAATATGCATTAATTGTGTTTCTGCGAATATACAGAATTATGTAAAATAAAATGATGCGTGTTTAAGATTTTTGTGGTGTTACGAAACGACAGATAATTACAGGGTGGTTTCAATTTCCATAATGTTATTTTATAACAAGTAAAGCCAACAATGATTTTCTGCCATCAATAGGAAACTCAAGGTCTTGAAATAAAAGTATATAAAAAGACCTGAAACCTACTGCTGGTTTCCAAAGGGGTTTATTACAATTAATTATTGCAACTATATCGATTCCGGTTTCTGTCGACAGTGACAAGAAAATCTTAAAGCGAACAATATTCAACAAAATAAATCTATCAATATAAAATTAATCGATTCATATAACATAATTTATTAAATTGCATTGAACCGAATAAAAATTAAACAAATTCGAAAATTAAATGGTTATAAATATCTCAAAATCGCCAGATAGTTTTTAAAATTATACCAAGTCTGGAATGAGCAAGCATTAGTAATCGGTTAAAATTTCAGAAAAAAAAAATTGTTTTTCCGACGTTTTCACTGAATACTTATATTAAGCTTTACTAGATATAATGGTAAATGGAATTTTCAAAACAACCTGGTAGTTTTCATGCACTGGAAATTATTGAGTCTTTTTGGTTTTCATTCGGTTTCGTGTGAATCGAAACGTTGACTTCTCATTAATGTTTGAAAATACGATACAAAGTGTAAACTTTAACTTACCGTAAGTTATATTTAGCGGTATAAAATAAAAGGTCAGGCGTAAGGTAGCAAATTTCTTTTTTATAAGCATTTTATATTCGGATCTCGTGTAAGTTAAGAATATCGTGTAGTTTCCATAAATTGTTTACATAACTTCGCTCAGAATCGTTTTCCATTAGCAATGATTTATCGCAGCATACAGATATAAAAGATCATTGTTTTATGTATTCTACCTTGCCAATTTGTTTTTGCTATTCTATATTCAAATATAGAACTTATAACAACTATAGACTTCAAAGTCAAACATTATTTATATTTTTCGTGACGAATAAGAAAAAAAAAATCAGGTTCTAACATAACATTTATTATTTACATACGAAAATAATGGATTTATGGAAGAAAAAAATAAAGAAGAAAAACGTAGTAGGTATATATAAGATTATTAGCTCAACTTGGTGAATTATTGATCGTATTTTTTTTTTGTGCCTTCACTATGTTATTATGTTATGCATTTTTGCTTAAATTCAAAAATATACAGTCGGGGATAAGTTTTGTAGATTTATATGCTTTGAGTAGCGTGAAAAGTACAACACATAAATAATAATGTCTTTCCATTTTAAAGACTTTTTCACCTGATCGATTTTTTTTGTTTGTTACTTGTTGACGATATTTATGAACAACTTTCAGTTATGCACACAAACCATTATACAAACTGTAAACAACTATATGACTATATGTTTTTTTTTTTTTTTTAAGACTTCTCTAGAAACTTTAAATAATTTAAATTGTCTGTTTTGGTTCTATTTAATGTCAGTGAAAAATCTTGTTTTAATATTATAAGGATAAGGAATAGTTCAATTACCATCATACATTTAATAGCAAACCAATATACGCTACGCATTTTAAAAAAAGACAACAAAGACTCATTATTAAAGTACGGTGTACTTTTTATATTCTTAGTGTAGTGAAGAATGGTTTTACAAAGATGTTTTTTTTTTTTTTTTTACTGTGTTCAAAAATTCTACCAGAATACCAGAAATTTTGCTTCGATATATACGCGTGACATAATTTCTGAAAGGAAATATTGTCCAGATTGTACTTTTAGGGGGTCATTTTTTTTTTTATTTTCCAAGCGGTATTCATAATACCCTTAGAAGTCCAATGGTAATACATACCTATTGATATCCTAGGGATCGCGATTTTAAATTCAAATTTCGAAACAAAGTTTTTACAATTTTTTTTTCTTTTTTTTATCTAAACCAGGAAAAAACAAATGCATTTTGGTTGTATTTAGAGATCCAAGCCACCGCTCACTCAGACTATATTAATAGCAAATTACCCCTAGATTTGTCGTAGAAACTTTTCTACCAGAAATTTCGCTCTGATTTATAATCAGGCGATTTCGTGTTGTTAGTTTTAGTAATAGAGTGCATTATCAAACTTAAAGGTAAGAAAATTTTCTGTTTTTTTTCGATATTTAAATTTTTAATGTTTAAATTGTAATATTTCCCATATTCGTAACTCGTTTTAAAATTAAAATCCCGATAAAAAACTAACGTAGAAACAGACAATGTTCTTGGCTACGTTTAAGTATTTTTTAGTAGACTAATACACTCCAATATTAAAACTATCAGCGCAAAATCAGTTTTCATATGCGAAAAATATAATTATAGCGACATTAATACATTTTAACCGTATCATATAAGTATATTAATAGCTGTCACGTCTGGCGTTGCCCGTTTCAAGCAAATGTGAACCTAACAAAAACGATTTTCTCCTGGATTTCCTGTTTCAATCTCCGTCGCTATCACTGCAGTTAATCTTTAAAAATGCATTTTCTTCATTTTTTTTTCAAACGCATTCATATAAATTAGTAGTATAGTCACTAAGCAATAAAAACTACCTGATAATTTTTTTTTTTTTATCCAGCCTAAACTACTGCAGGGTTAGGTCTACTACATCTACTGACCAGATTGACCAATATTTTCAATAGCTTATAATGGCTTCTAAATGCCATTGTACAAATGTACAAATGTACTAAATTATTAAAATAGCCACATGATGATCAGATGACTAGTTTCGTAGCCAGCCCCGCAACAGAGATTCCCATTTTCGCTTTTGTATAAAGTATATTATAATATATTCAGTGTCTTTTATTCTTCGGTTCTGTTAAGAATATAAAAATTAAAAGTTTTTTAAAAAGAAACTTGGTAAATTTAACCATAAATTTGTACATTTATTAAATAAAAAGACGGAATTACTTTACACGTGGATGTAGCCATTGTTGTAGGTGGGAAGTTGGGAAGGTAAGATACACACGAGAATTTAATGTATATCTGTAAGTCGCGAAAAAATCATAACGAAAAAATGATTCTGAGGGGAGTTCAGTTGATAGTATTGCTTTATCAACAATATATATGTTATGTCATATTATGATAAAATGTGTACAACAATGTGCGTTGCTATTACAACAATGATTAAAAAAAGAAAAGATTAAAATAATATAAACTTGATAATAACAAAAGTAAATAAAAACGGTTGCCGATGACAACCTTATTTTTAATCTTTTATTCTTTTTTAACCTAAAGAACCAAGTTTTCCTCAAATATCAATGAGAATTTCAAAAAATGACCTCTTTAAAGTATCACCCAGAGAAAATTTTATTTCAGAAAAGGTGCTATACTTGATTATCAGAGTAATCTTTTTGGAAGAATAAGTGTTTATATTAAACAAAAATAATAATAATAATAATAATAATAATAATAATAATAATAAACATCATTGTAAAACCAATACATACCTCGTTCTACTCAGACTCTAAAATTTATATATATGGAATAATATGTTATTTGGTACAATGAAATGAATTAATTTTGACGAAATTAATTGAAAAACTAAAAATATATGTTTCCATATTTACACTATGGTTTATTAACTTTAGGAGTGTTATTTATTTCCCCGCCCCCCCCCCCTATGTAATAAAACGTTCTGAAAACCGATTGCTCACCCCGTTTGATATCTAATCTAATAAATAATACAAATTTATATTATATGTATTTTTTTTTTTTTTATTGACTTTAATCAAGACTACGTTATATTGAATTTCTGAAAAATGTTTTCGCGTGATACGCACAGCGGCGAGTAGTTCTCGTACAAATATTAGAAATAATAATCATTTATTGAAAGCATAATATTTTAGATTGGTTTTACTACAGTGCGATTTTTATTTATTTATTCTTGTTTATTTGATGTGAACAATTTTTCCACCAAAGATCTTGATCTTGATCCGTTCATTAGGCGTATAGTATCTTTTAAGATAGCTAATTTTATCTATTCGGTACGCTGAAAACGTTCTATTCTTTATTTTCCTTGTAGTCTTTACTATAGTACCTGTGAAAAAATATACGACAGAATCGTTTTTGTTGTAACAACGGTTTATCGTTGCGCAGAGATATAAATTAAATTACTCTATGTATATTTTAACCTTTTAAAGATTTCTTGTGGTTTTTTTAAATTTGTTTTTTTTAAATATCAAAATAGACACCGATCAAAATAAGTTTTATATTTTTCTGGTTTTCCAGATTGATAATAAAGTTGATAAAATCACCGGATGAAAACAGAACAAAAATTTTCCACTGCTATATAAGTACTGCGGTCGTACGATATACTTGTATAGTGAAATAATGTAACTTCGATGTTTTTACTTTATCGATCCAATAACTGAAATTATAACCGACTGAATAATCAATGCTTCCTGGGAGACTAACAACATAAAGTTTTATATTTGCATAATAAATAAAAACAAAAAAAACTGTGCTCCTGCATGGCAACTTCCTTCGACATCAATCAAAATGCATATACCCGCGCACTCGATCATTTATAAAGATCGACTCGGGACGGAGAGACGAAGGCACGGGATGCGATGAGAGGGGTTAGGGAGAGAGCAGATAAATAAACTTGATTAAATTTATAAAAAATAAAACACTATTAGTCACGATATTTAAAGTATTATACGGGGAGTTTTATTTTATTTTTTTTTTTTAAACGCATTTACATTTTGTTTTTAATTATACCTAATAATAATAATGTTTAATTTTTTTTCTTTTGATAATAATATTCGATTTTTTTTCGATTTTAATTTAATTTTAGTCGGTTAATTAATACATCATATTTATTCCACGACGAGGGGAATGACGGTTTTATGGTTTATACGTTTTAAATATCCAATTAATTTCCGCGGGTCGGGACGGTTTAATTGCTGCAGACGAACCGTTTTCAACGTTTTAACGATACGACATAATACTGGTTGTGTATCCGAAATACGCGGAGGGTTATAAGTTTTCCATACATTTTGGAAATAGTTTATGATTTCCACGTGGTATTTACAAACATTGTTTTAGGTGAAACTGTGTATTCGAGTCGAGTTTATATCAGGCTGTTTACGAAATTAGTCGGATAGTTAAAATATAGTTTAGTTTAGTGGGGAGTCCATTCGATAGCGAGTCAGTCGCGAACGGGTCGGTTCACGATTAAAATGTAGTAATTTTATCGGTTCTTGTAGGCTGCGATAAAGTTGAAAATATATACCGGTGATATAGCCACGTTTTTTTATTTTTTTTATTTTTTGTTGTATTTCAAGTTGAAATTTCGTCGAAAATCGTAAAAATCACGGCATTACGAGACTTTGTTCAGAACCGTGTCTGTTATGGTTAATCAAGACGATATAAATCCATTAACTCTGTTCTACATTTTTAAACGATACAGCGCCTCAATATTATTGTATTTGTATTTATAATCGTAAAATGTAATACTATTAGAAATTGAATTGTACATAAACCACTCGCATTTATTAAGGGATCGCGTATAGGCAATTTTATCACGATTTCTGAAAAAATAAACTTTTATCAACTAAAAGACGTTTAAATTCACTTATACATAAATATATTTAAAAGTAGTCTCCCACATAATCACCGCGAGTGTTTATAGTGTTACCGTAAAATTAACAAAAGTGTTTACAGAAAACATTTTTGCTCGGGCAAAAACTACTCGGAATATTGATATAGTTGAGAAACCACCAAATTTTCACAGTAAAACAAAGAGACTTACACTGGGCAACGTTGGTTTAAGTTTTCCGATATCAATACTATGAAAAAAGTTATTCGAGTTTGAACAACTTATACTCGCCGGATATTTAAACAACAATAACCTGTTTTTTTGTTTTGTTATATCGACAAAATAAAACCGACCTTGCACAGTGTGTAACAGTTTACTTTTCATTTGAAAAAAAATTGATTTCGTAATTAAATCTATGGCTCGAATAATGTTTTCCCACGCAAAATAGTTTTTTTACAGTCAAATTATGTACAAGTGCTCCCCGTCCCTCCGTTGAATCATAATCATCGACTGAAATAATTTAAATTTCAATTTTGAACAACTTTTCGACCAGCAAATTTTGCTCCGATTTACAATGATAGCATTTTTTCTGAAAGGCAATCGGACTGGGAAGGCACTTTAAAGAGGCCATTTTTTGATTTTTCCCAATAAATGGGAAAAACCAAGAAGAAACCAGTAAATACGTATGAAAAACGGGAAACAGGTACAATATTACATAAATATTGTTAAAAAAATTGTACAACGCCCGTGTAATTATTTTACCATCATAACAAGACGTATGTTATATTGTCGACGAAGCGACACCGTCTGCGACACAACTCCGCTCAGAATCGTTTTTTCGTTAACGACGATTTATCGTTGCTTGCGACGATACAATTAAATTTCCCCTCTGCCGCGTTACCAACTTCTCGCCCGATAACAGTGGCTGCGCCCGTCCCAATCATACTGGGACGGCTTTTGGTTACCGCGTTTCTACCGTTTGATCGAATTTCCGGAAAACGATGGAAATTCGGCCGCGCGGCGTGTGTCGTTCGCCGGCCGCGCGACATGCGGGTTTACGTGTATTCAACCGTCCGGAAACGACGACGACGATAACAATACGAATTTTAAACGTTCGCACTTGTGACCCGCGCGTAGAGTCCGGGACGAGAGGTCCCGAACGTTTCGTCGCCGTTTAATATATTCGCCGGAATACGTAATAACGCGATAACGCGCGCGCGCACGTAATAACGTTACGTATATTATTACCGCCGTGACAAATGACAATGGACGTGACCCGTGGGCGGGTGTGTGCGTGTGTGTGTTTGGGGTGGGAGGTGGGGATACGATTTCTGGGAAAGTTCCCGTTTTAAACCGTTATCGGGATGCGCGGGCGCGTCACGTTAAATAACAGAGAGGCCGCGCGCGCCAACGACGCACGACGTTGTGCTCGCGCGGGCGCCTGACGTTTAACCGTGCGCGCGGACGTCACACGTTAATCGCATTACACAAACGGGTACTCTCGGATCGCCTCGCGAATCCAGGCGAACGACCGTTTTTTCCCGCTTGAACCGGCTCCGGGCGTTTTCGGAGGCACAGAAACAGAAATCGTTTCCGATTATGGCAGAAGGCCACTGCCTAGAATAGGAGGCGATTCGAGTGATCTTTAAAAAATAAAAAAATTCGCGAGGGAGGGGGGGGAGGAGGAGGCGATTCGAGGATCGGACGGGAGCCGGTTCGCGTGCGTCCTTATAAATAGCGGTGCGGAGTGCGCGCGTGTCGTGTCGTCCCGCGACCCGGGAGCCTCTGCGATGCGGGGTGTAGCGGCGGGCGGGTTCTCCTCTACCCGCACGCGGGGGATCGGGGACGTGAGCGCGGGGAAAACACATCCGCCCAACCGCGACCCCGAAATATTCCCTCCCCCTCCCCCGTCGCCGGTACGTCCGGCCGACGCCGGGCGCGCGGGTTACTGTAAACCGCGGTGCGTACGTGCGCACATACGCACATACAGGTGTTACGCGGCCCGCGTTTTTCCCCGGGACGACGCCGTTTTCTCGTGCGGTCGTCGCGCGATGGGAACGCCGGGCGCGCGCGTCTCCGTCCGGCGCGCGCGCGACGTTTCAAACTTCGCGAAATATTCTTCCTCCTTCCCCCCCCCACAGTCATCGCACCGCCGTGGCGAGACGTTACACCGGCGAAATCGCGCGGAAGCCCGGGCGGCGGGCCGCCTACGTCGTACCGTCAAAATTGCCGCCCGGTCTGAACGCGTGCACGCGGCGTGTGGGCAACGCGACTCCG